TGAGCCCAGTGGTGGTGGAATCAGCCTCTGTGAAACCATCAACTCCTCAGAGAAACTGCCCTAAGAGGACCCTGCTCCTTCCCTCAAAGTTCAAGATTTGCAAACTAAGCTGGTTCAGGCTCCCCAGTGCCACTTGTGGGGGTGTGTTGGAAGTATGTAAGGATGACATTCAGGAGGAAATAAAAGCAAGAAGTACCAAGCCCTTGGGACCCATGATGATGAAGCTTGGATATATCAAGTGCCTAGAAGATTCCCAGGACCCTCCTGCAGCTCAGAAGGTGTTTTCTGGCATTGTGGGAACATCTTATGTCATCACATTTTCCCACAAAGGCCCTTCACCATGTAACCTAACCCATTGACACAAGCCTGGAATCTGCTTCTCAGGAGGCTGAAGCAGGCTTCAGCTGAGACTTTGGTGCTTACTGCTGGCTTGCTGGAAATGCTTCTCCCAAATGTCTCTGGGCTTCTTTCTCACTTGCTTTTCTCAGATCTGCCAACCACTACACACACCCAAATACCCTTCACCCCAACATTCCCTTCTCTCTTCCCTTTTGCCTTTCCCCACGGCATTCTCAGAATCTGACATGCTCCATGTTTTGTGTGCTGATCTATCTGATTACCTAGTTTCCATCTATAAACCCTGAACACAAACTTTAGCAGGAACTGGTCTCCTGCTAAAGCTGCACAGTGAAGGAAGAACTAGAGAAAGTGGAACAGACAGCAATGAGAAGATTAGTCAAGAAAAAAAAAACTTAGAATGGTGGAAAAACCTGTGTTCAGGAGGTAGAAGGGAAGGGGATGGGCCAAGTCTGGAATCTGTGATAAAGCTATCCCCAGTGGAAAAGTGTCCTGGGCTTTAGAGTCAGACAGAGCTAAGTTGATATATTTTCTGTTGTTTATTTCTCATGGTTTTCATTATGTTGTTCTTAAAATAGAGATGATACCTACTTCATGAACAGTTGAACCAGCTGTGAAGCATAGTACACCCAAAACCTTTTAGTTCCCACTCCTTTCTTTTTTTTTCACTCTAAATCAGCAAGTGCAGATCTATCCCCCTCCCCAATTTTTTATTAACACTTGTAGACACATATAATAATTTTAATAAATGGGGTCATATTATACTATGTATTTTCACATGCAATCTTTTTTTTTTTTGTACCAGGAATTGAACCCAGGGGCATTTAACAACTAAGCCACATACCCAGTGGCCCTTTTTTATATTTTATTTAAAGACAAGGTCTTGCTGAGTTGCTTAGGGCCTCATGAAGTTGCCAAGGCTAACTTTGAACTTGTGATCCTCCTGCCTCAGCACTCTGAGCCACTGGGATTATAGGCGTGAGCCACTGGGCCCAACTTCACATACAATCTTTTTTTTTTTTTTCTCTCTCTTTCTATCCCACTCGCCCCCAGTACTGGGGATTGAACCTGGGAATGCTTTACCAATGAGCCACATACTCATCCCTTTTTTCTTTTTCTTTGTATTTTTTTTTCCAATTTTTGATACAGGGATTCATTAAGTTGCCCAGGCTGGCCTCAAACTTGTGAACCTCCTGCCTCAGCCTCCTGAGTTGAGATTATATGAATGTGTAACAGGCCCCAGTTTATTTATTTATTTATTTTTGGATTGCTTCTTCCTACCTCTCCTCCAGCCTGCATCACCCCCACTGTGGGTAACCTATATTAGAAAATTAGCATGTAATCTTCCTCATTTTTCCCCATGTTCCAATAATCACAAAGAAATAAAAATCCCCAGGGCAGTAATAATGCAGTATAATCTGAAAGCACTGAGAATAAAGCAAATGTTACTCATGCAAATATGTAGAAAGTAGTTTGACAAATACATGTGATGCCCTAATGTCTGCATTCACAAGAGTCATTTCAGAAAATCCTACTGTTGATTATTACAGAGGTAGCAGCCTCTACACACTCTTCCTCAAGAAGAGATAGAACACATTTAGTCAATGACCAGACTAACGGGAATAGTACCCTCTGGTTCTTGTATATTCCTCACACAGACTAATATAGTTTTAGGCAAATAATGGATTCTCAATTCAGATGCTCCTGGACTTAAAATAGGAACCCCTGCCAATAAACCCATGGTAAATTGAAAATATTGTAAGTTTAAAATGCATTTAAAGGGTCTGGGATGTGGCTCAGTGGTAGAGCGCTTGCCTAGCATGTATGAGGCATTGGGTTCGATTCTCAGCACCACATAAAAAAATATATTGTGTCCACATACAGCTAAAAATATATTTTAAAATGCAATCAAAATCCCAATGATTCAGGAGGTTGAGGCAGAAGCCCACCTGGGTAACTTAGTGAGACCCTGTCTCAAAATGAACAAAATAGAAAAGGCTGAGGTTACAGCTCGGTATAGCATAGTACCCCTGAGTTCAATCCCCAATAATACCCCCTGCCAAAAAAAATGCATTTAATATACCTAATCAATAGAACATTATGGCTTAGGCTAACCTATCTTAAATGTGCTGAATACATTCCTATTAGCCTGCACGTGGGCAAAATTATGTAACACAAAGTCTATTTTATACCACAGTGTTGAATAGCTCATATAATTTATTGAATACTGTACTGAAAATGAAAAATAGAATGTTTTATGGGTACTTACCATTAGCATACAAAGCAGGAGACACACACATGGGTATTTCATAGACATTTTATGGGATGCAAAAACAAAAAACAGAACATGCAAAAAATTCTGTCAATACTGCCACTGTCCAGCATCATGAGACAGATCGGACCATGTACATATCACTAGCTGGTGAAATATCAAAATTCAAAATATAATGTATGGTTTCTACTGAATGTGTATTGCTTTTGTGTCATTATAAAGTCAAAAAAATAAGTTGAACCCCTGCGAATTGATTTCATATTCATCGAAGGAGTGAACAAATAAGAAAGTAAGCTGAGCCATCTTTGGCCCTATTAATGACCAAAGATACATTAATAAGCAGTCACAATGAAAATTATGGTTTGTAGTTTGAGCACACAGATAAATTATCTCTGTCCTTTGTATTTTCAAACTTCATTGGCAAAGTAGGGCCTCCTTTCCTTCCCCTACTGCCCTGTCCTTCAGATTGACTCAGTTTCCCCCCCCCCACTGTATCTCCTTTCACCAGTCTGGCCGCCCCTCCTCATCTTTGTCATGCTTGGTCTCTCAACAGCCTTTTAGATCATATTCTAGAAATGTCTTTCACCTTGTCTTTCATCTCGAGTTCAAAGCAAGCC